AGAGTTTACTTTATAGCAGTTCCTACCTTTGTGTTTGTAGAAGACTTTGGGTACCATCTGGGAAAAACTGTTCTTTGTTGAATTTGCCTTTATTCCCCTTGGGGTAGGTTTTTAAGGCAGGAGATGCTGAAGGATGTTCTGAGGACAGTAAAAGCAGCTTGAAGTGAAGATGTAGGAGGAAAAGTACTCAAGCTGTTTTTCTGCTTTTGCAATTGAAAGGAAACTCATGATATAGCAAATTTTCAATGGCACAAGAAATTCTGCCGTCTACTTCAACATGGCACTATTAGGCCAGCAATAGGGGGAGCAGCTGCTCAGCCGCTGTATAATTGACATCACTGATAATGACCTTGGATTCATAATTAGGGTTCATGAGGATCAGAGGAAAATAAAAAAAAATCCTTAAAAAAACAACATGAACGACTGTGTGAGTGAGCACATTGGAACTTGACCGAGGGCTGAAGAAATCCTGCCTGTCCCAGGGCCCCGCAGGGGGTGAAATGTGGGCGCCTGTGCTGGGAGAGGTTCCAGGTCTCTCTTGATACTGAGCAGTTGACCAGAAGTGCTGACATTTTAGGAGAAGGCCTGAGAAGTTCAGATTAGAACATGCTGCGGGAAAGGAAAGAAAAAAAAATAATAAAATAAAATTGTTTGTATATTTCCTGGGAACGAATGAGCAGGTTCATGCCAGTAACACGAAATCTGCAGCATGGCATGCGTGGCCCACTGCCTCCAGTTATAAACAGTGCTTCAAGAAAGCATGCTGGCACGTGTTGCATGTGGAGAATGCTTCCTTTATCAGAGATTTATATATCATATCATAAATATCATATATTTGAGAGCTCAGACTTTGACTGCTGCCTAAAATTGGGCACCGTGGTTTTCTTTCCCCACTCAGCGGGTTGCTTGGTTATGATTCTGAATCCTTTCCTGAAGCTCTTTAGAGTCCCGTATAACTTTCATCCATTTCGCTTTCTAGCAAAAATATATTTCAGGAAGTTCCATAATTGCACATTTCTATATGGTGAGGTTTGGCACAGGAAGCCTGATGTGAGGTTGGCTTCTTTTTCTTCCTTTTCAGCTTAGAGTGTTTAAATTGGGTTCCTACACAGATTCAAAAAACACATTCTGCTGGGTCACGCTGGAGCCTCGAGTCACAATTTTTGTTAAACAGGGAAGGAAATGCACCGGCTGTTCTGCCTCAAGCTGTCCCTATGGAGAACCCCACCGTATTCCTGTGTAGAGGTAATTAGCCAGTGTATTGAGCAGGCCTTGAGCTGCAAACAGCTGCAAACCTGCAGACAGGTGCTCAGGGTTCAGCAGTACTTGAGTGCTCTCAGTTTTGTTTGGGTTGTGCTCCGTTAGACTTTCATCTGTTCAAGGGAGGGGGCTCCAATTTCCTTTAATAAATAATGATTGTGTTTTGGAAATGCCAGTCATATTTTGGTAGCTACTGAAACATAATGCATGAGAAATGTAAAGCTAGATGAACACAGTTTTATTCTAGAGTTTGTGTTACATTCCTGGAGGGGGTTACAGGTCTTTTTTTACAGTGGGGTAAGGGCTCTGAACCGATTCCTTTCAGAGCTGCCTTGCAATGCCACTAAACAGCTGCTTTCACGAGTCTGATTCAAAATCAGAAGGCCCCTGATACCTTATGGAAGATGTATCCTGTCGAGTTAGACTTGGGATTATTCATGATGAAATTAAAAATATGGTCAATAAAGATACTTGTGGCTTGAGACTCATGAAAAATATTTGTCTTGGTACTCAAAACACTTAAACTAGAATGATTCAAAATCAATGTGAAAGAGTAAAAGGATTAAACACAGACTTGGAAACACATCCCAAAGCGTAATTGTAAACAGGAAATCAGAACTGAGTGGGTGTATTTCTCGTGGGGTCTCCAAAGTTGTTCTGGGGCCCTGAATGACCAAATGTTTTACAAATGGCCAAGCAGAAAACAGCGGTCAGGCATTGGTGTGGCAAATGACACACGGCCTGCTTGGGGCCGCTTGGTGAGCTGGGCAGCGAAATGCTGTGCTCCCCAGCGTGACCCCACACCAGCGAGGGAAGCTCTGGCTCCAGCCAATTCCCTTCTGCTGCAGCCATCGCACAGAGCTGCCGGTGAGCTCCAAAAGCACATGACCCTCCAGGGAAAGCAGCAGAAACGGTGATAAAATACTTGAATTGCAGCTGTCCCTTATGAGAAGTGTGTTAATTAGGTAGAAAACAGCGTCAGGATGCCAGTGCTCCTGACTGGTTTCCCAGTCTGTACGAGAACAGTGACCAGTACAAGGATGGGCCTTGCCAGTTTTCACTGAGATCACACTAGGGACAAAGTTGAAATGAAGAAAAGTTGCATATGGCATGTGAAGACTGAGGCTGCTGTAGTCAAGATGCCTGGAGGTCTTCAACCTCCTGCTTAATGGAGAAAGGTCCCTTTTTTTGGCTCGCGAGTATGTCTGGATTCAGACAAAATGGGGTTTGCTCCAATAAAACTTCCAGCCACCTTCCCTGCAGCCTTTTCTCCGTGCCTTTTGAACTTGGAAGCGGGACTGCTGCTCCTCGAGCACTGCTCTCCCCGCTGCTGAGTTTTCCTGTTTATTCTCCTTGCACGGGGTGGACTGGTGGAGCTCACACTGCCTTGGACGGAGCCGCAGAAGCTAAATGTAGCATCTGAAAGAGTAAAGAATCAGGATTAAATACGGCACAGCGCAGGCTGTGAGTCTGAGTTAAGGCCATTAATTCCAAGAAAGAAATGGCAGAGGTATGTGTTTCCAGGCCTGGGTTTAAGTGTAGCTGGAAGGAGAGAGCTACAGGGCAGCAGATAAAATATACCAGTGCTTCCAGAGCTCCCTGAAATACTCTTCCATCAAAATTAAGGAACATATAAACCCTGCAATCATCCTTGCTCTCTGCCAGCACAGGGGACGAGGCAGGTAACATCGCCATGTAAAGCCTGATCCAGCTCTGTCAGCATGAACACGGGGGAGGCACGGCAGAGCGACAGCTTGGGCTTGCTCATCTGAGATGTGGAGCAAGACCAAGCAGGGTTACTCGAGGGGGAAATTAAGAGGCAATGTTGCCACGCGTGTCCACACATTGCTCATAAAGCTGTTGATGTGGTGGTCTTGGCTCTGCGACAGTGATGTCCTGTGCGTGTCCTCAGCCCGTGACCGATGGCACCTTCTCCTGCCTCCCCTCGCGGTGCCAGCTGGCTGCGGAGGAGCACAGGCTGCATTTCCCACTGCCTGCAGATGATGGGGATGTTTCAGGTATAGGGAGGCCAGGCTGGCTTTCTGGGCCTTGTGATTTTTATTTTTATTTTTATTTTTTTAAGAGGTTTTCAAGGGCTGTTTAGTTTTGCTTTGAAAGGGTGAAGAGGGGAAAAAACAGCTTCCAGAAAAAAAACAACAGCCCAAGCTCCGGGAGCCAGCTCTTAGCATGAGAACCCGACCCACCCTAGGGGAGGGCTGTGTCAGATCACTGCATGCCCAAGGAGCAAGAATTCACTGCCTGCTGAAAAGCCACAGAACTCAGACCCTATTTGAAAGAGTAACATCTTTGATATAAAAAAAAAAATAGCAAAACCAAAACAAAACAAAAAAAACACCCGGCCAATAAAAAGCCTCAGACATACAGGATCCCATTCATGGTGGGAGGGATTTAGTGGAAGTATTTTCCTTCTTTAAGGTTTGGCACAGCCTTAAAGGAATCTCTTTAAAAGCTTCCAGAGCCGATTATATTTTGGATTGTGTTTCAAATCTCCCTTCCCCCACCACGTTTGGTGGGTCCTCAAACAAGTTCCCAGAATAAATTACACATAACGGTAGCGGGATTTTTTTTTTTTTTTTTCTGAGGAGGAGGAAGGAATAAATGACACCAAATTCTGTAATGGAAAGAAAAAAAAAAAAAAAAGTGTATCGGAAACTGCTGCTGAGTGACTCATGCTGCTGGACAAATGGAACCTCACTCATCACTCCATCTTCATCCTCCTCCTCTGGTGAGAGAAAAAGTCTTGGAAAAATATCAGCACACTCCCCCCCCCCCGCTCTGCTTCTTCTCCCGTGGCATCTGTACACAGGGAAGCAGTCCAAGCCACAGCGATGGCTTCATGTGCTTCTTGGGGCAGGCGTTTTTTGTTGTTGTTGTTGTTTGTTTTAATAGCCAACTAGGAAAAGCCTCCGAGGTGACCTTGGAAAAATGTATGCACCAAAGGAAAAATATTGGGGGGGTGGGGAGGGTGTTGGAGTCCTTGTGTGCTTTATGTTTGGAGGCTTTTTTCTTTTTTTTTTCTCCTAATAATGTTTCTTCCAAATTTCCACTGAAATAAATTTGCAAGTTATTATTATTTTTTTTTACGAGTGGGAAGAGAGGGGAGGATGTGCCGTGCGAAAGGCAGAAAGAGCTGGGCACGGTTCCGACTTAAATAAATGCTGCGTCATAAAAGTATAAAGGATAGTGCAGGGGGAAGGGTGGGATGCACAAAATTGCTCTGTTTCTCCTCTCTTCAGGAGAGTAATTAGCATTTTTATGAAGCATATAAACTGTATACAAATCAAATATATTTTTATTACTATAAAATGGGGGAGGGGGCCCTTTTTTTTTTCCCCCCTGCCTTCCCAAAACATCTTCTGCAAATGTTTGGCACTGCTTGCCAGAAAGCCACTTAAAATGCATTTTTTGGACTGCCAGCTCCATCCAGCCCTGCTGTGGCCATGTAGAGCTGTTAGCCAGCACAGCCCCTGCCCAGCGAATGCCTTTTCAGTTGCAGGGCAGCTGGGTTTGAGTGGGTAGATACTGTGGCTGTGCTCCACCTCACTGAAAAGCTTGCTCAAGGAGATGCCATGTCTTTTTGTTGTTCACCAACAGGTAACTGCTTTACTTCTCTCTCCAACCCCAGCTTTTGGGTTGACTTGAATTAAACTGAGCACTGACTGAAAATGGCCATGGAGAGGTGCCATATTATGTTCTGTCATGCTTTTTGTGATTTCTCCACAGATGAGGCAGTGGCCACCCCATGTAGCCTCTTTCAGTACTCCTACTTCCCTCCGTCCAGCACCATATGCTCTTCCAGCCCAGCTTTACTCATCAACACCCCAATCTTGCACATCATGGTGTCTGGAGGAGCCCCCAGGAGGCTGGATAGCAGCGGTGACACTTTTGGGATTACCACAAGCCATCTGAGGAAGTGGGACAAGGGCACTGTTCATTGCCCAAGTGACTCCCTGCAGAGACAAGCACACAAACCCTGCCCCTCGATGAGATATATCCCCTCTTTTTGTTGGCACCTTGGAGCTCCTTCCCCATCCACAGGCTTTCATGGATTTTCAAGCTCCATCCCCATCCTGCTCCGTGCATGGGTGAGGCAACAACCAGCCCAACTCTGCACCCCAATACCTACGGGCAGCCCCCCCAGCTGCCTTCCCAGGCTGAGCCTGTGAGCAATTGCCGGGCAAAAAATGACTTTCAGCTGGACTGTGTTAAGCATGGGTGGTGCTGCCCTGAGCGATGGCTGCAGGGAGTGGTGGCTCTATTTAAGGCAGTATCTGCCAGCCCTATTGGGGCTAGCTGTGTTGGGGGTGATGTCCTTGGTGCCATCCTGTGGCCCCCAGGAGTGGCGTGCCTGTGCTGGTAGCCCTGGAGAAACCTTCCTGACTGTAAGTGAGAGGGCTCCTCTGCTTTCCCTCCCCCTACCTCTTTCCTTTCCCTCATTCCACAGGAAAGCAATCATAGTATCAAGTGTTTCCTAATAACTTTTTAGGTTGATGACTAATTTTTTAGCCATGCTGAATGAGGGGTGTAATAGTTTGACATTAAGGCCTGCTGTGAAGTAGGTGCCTGAATGAGAAAGGCACCAGTGAGTTTGCAGCAGGGAGGCTTTTGAAATATCCCAGTTTCAGCAAAACCTCCATTGAGCATTTGCGTGCCTTGGAGGCAGAAACCAATCCATTGCTAGGTAGGAACCCATAAGAAAATGAGCTTTGCTGGAGTTAATGTCTGTGGCCTTGTCTTGCAAGGGCAGAGGGAGGCCAGAGCAGTTGCCTTTCAAAGCCCTCCTCCTACCCTGGGGAAAGGTATTGGGTTTCACTTTGGGCTTTGCAGACAGGCCCCAACTGAACCGGAGGCCTTGTGGGAAACACAAGGAAGTCAGATGTGGATTTGAATCCCCAAATTCCTGTCCTTTGCATGGAGTTAGCTGAGTGCTGAACTGCTAGGCCCCATGCTTTTGGCCCCAAATGGGCACCGTGAGCTGCTGGCAGGCCTGTGCTGGGCCTCTCCTGCTGCAGTTCCCCGTAAAATGTAGGCTGGTGGGAGGAGTGAGCCAGAACAGGCTGAAATCAGTTTTCTGTATGGATCAGCTGATGCGCTGTATAAAATGCAGGTCTAGGTTTCGAACCTAGAATTTTCTTTAATAACAAACCAGGGTCAATGAATGTAAAGCCTCATGCGGAGCCTTTTACTGTGTTAGTCATAGCTTGAATCCTTTATGTTCCCTCTTCTAATGGCAAGTATTATCCAGCAAGCCTTGTTATAGTGTGGTCTTTGGAGGGTGTGGAAGTTGGTAATGATGGTGTCTGAATGCTGTTCCAGGGATCGCTGCTACAATTCACAGCAGATAATAAGAGCCACAGCCAGACAGATAATAGAACTGACTGAGACCCATTTATTGCTAAGAGACTGTCTGAATATTTGTACATAGCTTGAGCCACCCCACCCTCCTTCATCACATTTCCTGGGAAAAGGGGGGAGGGGGGAAAACAGGGCTAAAACAAAACAGAAGCCTCGGGCAGAACAGGGAGGAAAAGACAGATTTGCAGACTCTTATGCATTTATAGTGGTTTTTATGGCCCTTGTCATAACTGAGCCAGAACAGTGGAGATTGCTAAGGTATTTGCTGCCTGCCTCTACATGTGGAGGTGTGGGAAGACCGTGGGGAGCAAGCAGTGGACTGGGATGGGAGCTGACCCCAGCCTGTCTGAAGCTTAGGGTGCCATCTGATCACAATTCCCTGTCCTGTCACACTGAGCAGTGTGGTGGGAGGCTTCTCTGATGGGCTGCAGGCAGAGCCCAGAGTCAGGGTTATTATTAGCAATCAGGATAGGAAGGCTTGGCCTACTGCAGAGCAGCATAGTTCATTGTCACTTGCAGTTTTCTTAATTTTCACGTCTGTTGGCATGCTTAGGCCTTCCAGGAGTTGTTTGGAGAGGTAATTTGTGTGCTGAAATATACATCTGTCATTCAAGTTACTTGGGGTTTTGGTATTTGACTGACAACATCTCCCCTTTCCTTGTCTGGGAAGTACTAGCAGCTCTTAAGGAGCAGAAAAAGCTGGTTCTCTGCTTTCTAGGGAACTTTCTAGCATGGTGCTTGTGCATGTGGAAGGTAAAGAACTTCTAGTTTCTATTCCTGATGACCGCACCATCTTTCAAGAGGGCCTGTGGCTGTCTTAGCCCCTTTCTTATGCCTGGTGCTGACTCTGTTCAATGTCAGCTGTTCCTAGGATGCTTTTGGTGAGGAGCGAAGTACAGGAAAGGGCATGCCTACAAAGGTGCTACTGATGATGCCACCTCTTCCTGCTTTATCGAGATGGTGGAGAAGTGATGCTGTAGTGCTTCTATTAGTGTTTCCAGCCCTGAGGAAGGACCCTGGTTGAGTAGGTTGAGGAGAGCAGTTTGGTGATTTGACAGATCACTAGTGACATCCCAGCAAACCTGGCCTCGCTAATGGAGGAGCTGACACCCTGATGGAAGGGGACAGTGGGCTGCCAGAGAGCTCCCTGTCAGCCTGCTGAGTAATAACTGGCCATCCTCTCAGACTGGCTTGGCTCCCTGACCCCTTTTGTCAGCGCAAGTTTGGTAAAAGCCTGTAAGTAAATTCAGCATTGGCCCCTCCTTACTCTTTGCTTTGAAATGCTTTGCTCATAGTGTTGTGTACATGTCTGTGAGCCCATGATCTGATGTCCTCATGGCTCTCAGATGTTAGAGCTGCTCAGCTGGTGTGGTGTCCTTGCCAAGTCTGTCTGCTGTGGCCTTTCATTTTTATGATCTGCCTCTTGTTGCCTTCATCCCTGAGGTGCTCAGGCCTTTTTTTTTGCTGAACAAACAGTTCATTATTAGGGTTTCTTGTTTTGTTCCTTGGAGATCGCTGGGTTTTCTTCAGTAGTGGTCTGAATTAGACTTGTGTTGGTGAGAGAGAGTCAACTGTGCTTTGATATGCAAACATGTATATGGTGCAAGTCTGTCTCCACCATGTGTCTGCATGGTGTGCTGTCAACTAGTGATTGCAAGCATGCAGATGAAGGGTTTTTTCAGCTGGTTGGAAAAGATCTTGTCTTGGAGAGCCTTTCCTCTTGTGAGACTTCCCCTGGGAGGTTACTTGGAATTGGGCTTTTGGTAGCATCAAATACTGGTTTTGAAGCATTTCACAAAGCTTTTATGGAAGGAGGAGGGATGAGATTTTTATTCTACACTGTAAACATAATGCCAGAACTTGGGGCCTCCTTACCTGGTCTTAAACCTTTTAGATGAAAGAACTACAGGGTAGGTGTTAAGAAAACTGGACTTGCTCCCATATTAAGAAATATGTTCATCAGAAAAGACACAAGTTGTGTTTTTTTTTTTTTTTTTTTTTTAAAAAAAAGAACTTTTCTAAGATATTGTTACTTTAACTGAAATCTGCAATTTAGGTAGTGGATGTTCCTTGACTTCAAGGTCCCCTTACTGAATTCTTTCTCATGCATTTGGGCTCACTTATCAGAAATCCTTCATAGTTCTCAGCTCTTAATTTTAGGTTGAGCAGGTACTTATGTGAAGGGAAAAGGAATGTCTGGAATTGTGTCCAAAACGAATGACTATAGGGTTTAAATGTCATTTTGGTGAGAAGAATCTCTGTCCTAGAGGAATGAGTTCTAGGAACTCCAGCATTGAAGCTATGCATGACAAAGAATTACTAAGATGTTTTTCAAAGGCTGTGCTCAGGCTCTCTGGAGATTAGCTGTTTTCTTTCCATCTTTTGGAATCACAGTGATCTGACTCTGCCATATTAGGAGCTGGTTGCTCTTTCCCAGTAATTTCACATAGATATTGTGATGCCTTGTGCTTCCAAATCACTGGGGCATTTTGCAAGTTTTACTGTTAGGCACTTAAATCTAGGCTCAGCAGGAGGCAAAGAGCAATTTTATTTAAGGCTTGGGAACTGGGGAGGGTTGAGGTCACCTAACTAACCCTCCAACAGATGGATGATGTTCAGACCATGCTTTCCTAGTGACCAGGAAGACCTGAGCTCTAAATGCAGTCGGGACTATGGTTAAGCTGTAGACCATGGGCAGGTTTTTGTGTCTTGCTTCCTTCATTGAGGAATGGGTGAATTGGTTCTTGGGCACACAGTTCCTACATGCCTGGGGCTGTCAGAACAGACATGTCCTACCTATTCCTGTGGTGGTTTTTTATTTCAGATCAAGTTTCTCCAAACGAAGGGAGAAGAGCATTGGGGGCTAAGCAAAGGGCATTGTCCTGTATGGTTTTTCAGTTCAACCCCGAAATAGCATGAAACAACTGTAAGCATTAATGCAGCTAAGGTTTCCTGGCAAAATTCAGTGTTTTTTTTTTTTTTTTAAGACTGATAGTCATGCTTAAATCCTTCATGTACAAGATCTCTTCTTCAGCCATACCTTGCCTCTGCTCTCCCTATACAATGAGTGTAATGCTGCTCTGACAGCGAAGTGAGAATTCATTAGCATCACCATAACTAATACAAAAGTAGGACAAAATACTGGTTGAAATCCAAGACCCAAGCGTGAACTTGCCTGCAGAGATGCTCGAAAATGCTGCGTAAAATATGGCTGCCTGGAGAGTTGGACATGACCACCCAGGAACTCCCTTTGTGTATTGTGCCCTGAGTTCCTAACTACAAAGCTTTTCACTTGTATTGTCTACCAAATGCATGTGTAGTTTGAAACTGAAATATCTGAAAATCATCTCCTGATTTTATTGGCCTGAAAGAAGGGTCTGTTCATTTTGTTATAGATCTGACAGATGTCTCAAGTGTGAAGAATAAGCAGGAAGCTTATAAGGCATATATGATGAATTCCAAACATCACTGTTTTGCTTTCCCCCATCAACATAATAGCTATAAACTAGTATTTTGACTAGTTTGACAAACTAATTTGAATTTGTACTTTCAGAAGCCACAATGATGCGTGGAGTCAGCGTGTGAAGAATCAGGGCCTATTAACGCTCTTCCGCTCTGGTCATGCAGGTTTATTGGACAGTTATACAACACTTCAAGGTCTTTCATCTTTTTCTGCCTGTCCATTTACATCAAGCCCAAGAGAGCAGACAAAGCTGTCACTAACCAGCAAGCTGTGTGAGGGAAGCCAGGATGCAATGACTTGTGAGTAAACAGCAAGAAAACCAGTCTATAATCAAAGCCTGCCCAAACTGTCCTATGGAACGCTTGCATATTAATGCTCTGAGGTTGCTTAGCTTGCCTGTGCAATGTGGTCTATAATATGACCCGCTGAACTGCTTATCCTCTGCCTCTGCTTCAGATTTGCACCTCACTTGTCTGTAGCTTTCAGCCCTGATTGCTCTGGGCACCAATGGCCTTGCTGCTCGAGTCCTTCTGACCATCTCTTTACTCTGGAAGAGGCACTGGG